CATCTGTCATTCGTTTTTGCGCGTTTTCCTGCAACGCTTCGCTCAACGTATCTCGTACAGAACAGTCATTCAACTATACAAAGTGACAACATATTTCATGGCGGTGTGATCTCGTTCCTTAACTTTTGCATCTCGAGTCGAAGTGTAGATTCAATAGTGATTAATTATTGTTACGTTGTTGTTTACAAACTATTATTTGTAACGAAATTGGGTAGAATAATATTCGCGTTCGGAAAGCGTCGTATAACAATCACGGATATCACGGACTCCTGGAGCTGCTCCGATTTGGCTTCCCATCGATACACTCTTCTATGATACGGATCAGACCATAAACAGAACAGGATCGTTCCTTTGTTCTCGAGTATCGCTTATTCATTTGGGTATGGATACTCGCTTTGTTAGATTTTATTATGTTGTCACCTTATTCTTTTATAGAATTTTTACATAAATTTGAACTAGATCGGTACGGCATGCCAGGTCCTTGAAATCGGATCAGAAGGATTTCATCGAACATCATTCCAAATCTTGTTTGGCAACTCACTAGGTAAGCCGCCTTCAATCTGATCGATCCCCCTTGTGCGCAGCTCACATCTTCGTCTTGTTCTAGTCGGGTCGCTACCAAGAACCATTTTCATTGGGTCGCTATCCGACATTATTACGATATGCCCAACCCACCGTAGTCGCCCGATTTTCGCATTTGATATAAATTTCTTAACGTACAAACCTGCTGCAATGCTACTTAATGATTCAATTCTTTTCTACAGTGATTCAACAATTCCCGAGCTAAATCCAATCTTTTCAAAATTGGTTTGAATTTTTTAGAACTCCGACCAAATCAGAAACGATTCAGGAAATTCCTAATTGAAGCAACACTTTTCGAAACAGATTCAAAGTTGAGTCTGAACTTTTTTGAAGTGAGTTCAAACTTTCGAATAAGTCATCAACATTTTTCTAACAGAGTCTAAACTTTTCTGTTATGTTATTCAATCCTTTTTAAAGTTGTCAAAGCTTTCCTGAAGTGATCCAACATATCTCGAAACCAAGTTTTAAAAAATTGGTTTTGCATTTTCTGAAATGGGGCAACGCTAGCTGATTCAATCCCTTTCGTAAATGAATCTTATGTTTCCTGCATTGATTCAACTTTTTTTTCCGAACTGAATCCAAACTAGTCAGAACGGGTTTGAAATTTTCTCAAGGGAGTTCCAGATTTTTGTTAACTGCTTTGGCAAGGACACAATCTTGTTTAGGTCATCTAGTTTTCCTTAAAGTGTAGAAAGCTCTCCGAAGTGAACCGACACTTTTTTAGTTTAAATTTTCCAAATGGAGTCAAATCTTTTCTGAAGTGGTTCAATGCCTTCTTTCGTAGTGTTATCTTACAACCTAGTGGTCTGCCTTTGGCCTGCTAATCCTGGAAAGGTAGTTGATTTCATAAACCATATCATACCTGACTGGGAAAGGACGTGTCCATGCAATTAGCTGTCCACTCATTAAATGGTGGTCAGCTTGCATGATACAAACAGTAAACAGGGGTACCACAAAAGTTCAAATAATGGACGCAGTGGTTCAACTCCCCCCAACAAAAAAAATGCCTTCCTTAGGGAGTCCAAACTTTTGAGTGATTGAATTATATTTAATGTTAGTCTGAGCTTTCCTGAAGTGATTTACCTAACTTTTAACGTAGATTTCGCTTCCCTAGACCCCTTTCTAGTTCTTGATGGTTTTTCTGGAATTTATCAAAACCCAAAAATCAGTTGCTTTGATCCTATTCATCTACATTATTACCAATGTTCTTCCTTGAAAGGATACAACAACTTGTGCGTGAAATGTCTTCTTGATAACAGCGTTGCCAGATTGTTTTAAAGTTTATCGGTATCGAAGGTATTAAAATATCGGTATTTATCGGTATTTACTATTTAATTAATTCTATATTTTAGACGTTTCTGAATTCAAATTTTTTAACAATGGTGACGACTGATACTTGAGGGGAATTGCTTTGTTTAACGGCTTTCTCGGTCTTAAAACACTCTTTAATATTTTAATTTAATTTTTAAAATTATCGTTGGTGTTCGAAATTATGACTAAGTAGTTTTTTTCCAATTAAATATCATTAAATGAAACCAACATATGGAAAATCAGCCACAACAACGACTAAACTATTGATAAAAACGACAAAAAATATTTTCCCTTGAAAAAGGCCACAACCCATGGCCGAAATGTTGAGCAGATTACATCGTAGTCGTTGCAGTGTTTTAAGACGGAGAAAGCCGTTAATCAAAGCAAAATTTCAGATTTTGAACTATGATCTGAAAATTCCGGAAGAAAACTCCGGGGAATGTTTGAATGAGCTTCTGAACGAAGCTGAAAAAACATCCAGAGAAAGACAAAAGAAGCTCTCCTGGATGAAGTTCGAGGAAAGTTCTAAGAAAAGTTGGAGATACATCCGGGAAATTTCCAAGATACAAGTTGAGAGTTTTTGAGAGTTTGAGAGGCGAAAATTTAAATAAACTTTCGGAAAAAAATCGGATGTCACATCCAAAGGAAGCCAGAAAAGTTTCGGAAATCGAAAGTAAATTTCAAGAAGAAGCCATTTCCAGGAAAAGCCAGAAGAAGCTCGGAAAACCATCCAATAGATGTCAAACAAAAAAACCATTGGCTTATGATCAAACTTCCAGAAGACGAAAGAAATTTCTGGGAGAATTAATTGAACTTCCTGGAGAAGACGAAATAAACTTCCTGGAGACGTTGGCAGAAACTTATTAAGGTAGATTGGAAGAAACATCTGAAGAAAGTCGGAAGCCAGAGCGCTTACGGAACAGTCGAAAGAAACAAGTACATAATTCCAGAAGAAAGAGATTCCTGGAGAATGTTCTAATGATCCAGAAAATTTTCCTGATATTCATAAAACATCCCTGGAGACTCCGCATCGGAACATTCCTGAAATGCACTTAGGAATATTCCATAATTCCTCGAAATTCCTTAAAAGTTCTGGAAATTTTTTCTGAAATAAGGGGCTGTTTTGGAGTTCTGTGGTCATCCTCGAAGCGCTTGGAACTTTCCTGATTATAATAAGACTACCAGAATATCTCTAATCATCTTTGAAGGGCGCTGGACTTTTTTGAAGATTACGAAATCTCTTAAGTGCTCTCACAATTTTCTTGAATTAAGTGTAACATTGAAGTTCTCTGAGCTACCCGATTTTTTTTTTATTTTTAAAAGTTATCAACACTGCCATTAAAAAGCATAGAACTTCCCATAAAATGTTCTCACAATGTTCTAATATTCATGTAACTTCTCTTACGTTTCCTAAATTTGCATGAGCCCCTCAGGACATTGCTGAAGTTTTCGGGAATAGCCTGAGTTTCTCGAAACTCCTTTATAATTTCAGCAATTTCAGAAATTTTGAAATTAATTGATCTGTCCTGATGTTCTCTGAGCTTCACTAAAGTTCCTGAAAACCATTAAATTTCCCTGAAGTTCTTTGGACTTGTGAAGTTTCCAGAATATTTATTATGTTTCCTTAACTTCACTGGAGTTCGCTGGACTTTTCTGAAATTTTCGAATTTTAACATAAGTTAATGAAACTGACTTTAATTTATCGAAACTTTCACAAAAGTCTGGACTTTTCTGAAGTTTCAGAACTTTTTAAATGTTCTTGTAGCTAGTGTAGATCATCAATAAAAATCTGATAGCATCCTTGAAGTTCCGGGAAAGTTGCAAAAACTGGCGGGAGAAGATGAAAGAATCATTCGAGCGAAGGCTGAAGAAGCTTCCAAGGTAAGGTGGAAGAAAATTCCAGGGAAAGTTGGTTGAAACTTCAGGAAGTTAAAAAATGAATAAAAACTTCCGGACGCTGAATAATGTTTAAAAAATATTTCTCGATTCCCTCGTGTAATTCTGAAAGAAAGATGGAAAGAGCCATCGACTATTTCTCGATTGATTTGTAGTCAAAAACGGTGAGGAAATGCAAACATTATTCGAAAGAGTATCATGGATAAGGCATCTCTAGAGATGATTGTTTAGAATTTTGAAGGCTAAAAAAATATGAGATATTCATAAAGATACAAGTCTCTCACAAAAATTTTCTCCGAAATTCGAGCGTGGGCAGGCAATGATAATTTTGATTATTAAAAAAAAATCGGTAAAAATCGGTATACAATCTCGAAAATCGGTATTCTGCGGAACCTTATCTGTATATAGGTATCTAGTTCAGAAATCGGTTTATCTGGCAACGCTGGTTGATAACCCGAGTGTTACACATAGGGGTTTTGCTCTAATTTCCGTCCTACTAAGCAGAAACCGCGCTTTACCTCCTTTTTTAACGGGTTTGAACAAAAAATGGAATATTTCTGTCAAAGATGACTTCTAAATTGATTCACCTCTCCATAAGTACCGTTGGATTTGATAAAGAGTCACAAATTGTTAAGATATTGTTTAAAATCCTTCTTGATTCTAAATTCGTCCTACGAGTTTCATTTCCGTCCTAACGCATTGAAACGCCATTAGATATTCTTTGTCCTACGGATAAACGTAGAAAAACGGGATTCAAGTAACTTCAAGACCAAGGAAACAACCAGGAATATTCTAGCCCCCTCCCTATGCGAATGTTATCTTGTGTAACCTAGAAGCAAACCATTCTAGATAATTCAATAATGCCACTTTCATAGCGGTCGCAACCTCGTCTCGCGAACATTCCCAATGGCAATTTGCCAAGCCAACAAACTGGTCGCTGTGCAAAAGTAAAAATTCCGCGTTCACCTTCGAGGAAAACCCATCCTGCCGAAAACTTTCAATTTCATGTTTCTATTTTAGATCGCCCACCGGCACATACCTAACCTTCCTGTTTGAACAAACGAAAACAAAGCCTCTCCCCCCACGACGGACGGGTACATCCAACAATTCCCGGACTGAGATGTAATCCTTTTTACGACCCTTTTCAGCACCGACCCAAGACACCGAAAAATGCACCTGGGAGTGGGATGTCGAACAGCGGTGATAATTACCTTCAACCAGCAGCAAGAATAATCCAATTTTGTACATCAAACGGCCGCTGCTCCCTCTGCTTTTCTGCTGGGGAACCATTGCTGCTAACCGTAACTCACTTGTGCCTTTAACTGTTCGTTGTCACTTCGGTTTAAAATCACAGTAAACTGCAGTGAAAATTTCTCGTTTTGTTATTGAAGTTTTCTCACTCAATGCAGCACACCTCCACTGAAAGCTTGGTGATGATCTTCTCCGCTCATCAGCACAATGCCATCAACGCACTAATTGATCTGTTTACGGCCACCATAAAACCATAACACCACCACGCGAACGAGGTATGCCGCTTTTCACGCTTTTCCAATTATCACAGTTTTCCTCATCGCTAGCTCTTTGATCGATCACATTCCCTACAAGCCATCTATCATCACTGATTTACGTTGCTTCGATTTTTCATAAAGGGACATTAAAAAAATAATATATTAGAACACCACTCTTCGTTGATTCACGCAAGGAATGCTTCTGATCCGATAGGATATGGCATCATCACCATCTTTTCGTAGGAACTGCGATCGTACCCACTCGGTTGCGTGAAAAATTTTGACCCACACACACACACACACACACACTCAACAGACACTGCTGTTTTCCACCCGACTTTTTTTTTATTTGGGTGTGCATATTCAGTGTCGCCGCCGCTGCCGCCGCCGCCGTCGGGAAGAATCGAAACTTTTATTTTTAACAACCTCAGCGCGCTCATCATCTCTTGTATTTAGACATCAAAATTTTGCATCCACGCGGTTTCGTATGCACATGTACTTTGGACACGATCAGACAGATGATGCCCATGAGCTCAACAAAATCGACAACGTGTGTGTTGCACCGCAGCTGCAGGCCGGGCAAAATTGCATTCACAAGAAGTTGGGAATTATTTTTTCTCGCGAGGTGAATTTTCCTCGTTGGATCGTGGTTGGGATTTGCGGGAGAAATGTTAATGCGAAAGGGATAATCAAGTGAAAAGTTGTTTGATCTAGAGGTTAAACATTGAAATTCCTGTTGACTAAATAGTACGAGCCATTTGATCACCGATTTGACCTTCCTTCTTCTTCCTCGCATTTCAAGCTTATTATATATCGCATATTAGCTTATTGCGTGCTCTCAACTTAGTGTTCTAGATGCATTTCCACAGTTATTAATTGAGAGCTTTCGATGCCTGTACTATTTTTGCATTAGTATAATTGTGTGGCAAGTACAACCATACTCTATACCAGCATGGTCTTGCTGTATAGCTGCGCCCTTACCGACTGAGCTAAGGGAGGTCCCCAATTTTACCTTCCATCGGTTATAATTTTTAGATGATTTAGTATTACTTGAGTAAGCTTAGCTGCTAGCTACCGAGTTGTAGGTTGTGGATATACGATGGCCATTCGGTATATGTAATGGTTAGTTGAGAATTTGTTATAAGAATTGCCGGACAAGTAGTCTACGGATGTGGTGGGACATAACAGTGGGCTCTGTGAAGTTTAATCGAAATAACATAATACCCAAAAACAGTCTCCATCGAGCGAATGGATAGCGCTATAAATACCTAATCCTATCTCACCAAGCACCTATTTACCGTGGAGCGCAAACAGCGCCTGACTGGCGTCCAGTGCCAGAGGTTGTTAAAGAAACGCTTACACCCGGGAGATATATTTATGATGGCAGCCCATCATACATCGGATCCATCGGTCCAGTTCCTTTAACTTTAAATATAATACAGTAATAATGTATGACGAAAATGATAACTCGGCTCTGTGAAGTTTATTCAATTGAGCCTGTACAAATAAAGTAATTATAAAAAAAAATCTTGTTACAAATCAAAATCATTCAATAAAGTATTTTCTTCCCGACATCGGTTCTACGATTACATTTTCTTGGAGCTACTTTCACTTGCCTTTTTATCCGAGCAAGCGTAATTTCGGAGGAATTCGCCAACCAGCTTTGCAAATTCGTACGTCGAGAATGACGTGATGATTGCTCCATCAAATGACTATTAACAGCATCTCGTGGAGCGCTCATTCTCGCATGTGTACATCCACACTAGGGTGGGTCAATAGACTGATGCAAAGTTTGAAATTTTCGCCCCACAGTGCTCAATCGGTTCCAAATCGGGTCCCAATTGACCTCCCAAAATTTAAACGCAATTGGAAAGAAACTGACTTGGCAAAAAGCATTTGATGTTTATATGGGAAAGTCAAACTTTGTGTTCATAGTCTTCTTACCTTTTTCCATATTGTACTGTTTAAAAGTTCTATTACTATTCTTATGAAAAATTCTCAGCTACAACTTTGCAGAAAATCGTTTTTCAGCCAGACTTTAAATTAAATAGTTATTAATTGTTTAAGAGATTGACAATCTTTTGACATGATCAACAACCTGTTTTGTGAGCAACACTGTATTCTGCAGTGTGACATTGACTTCTCGACGCAAAATCTCACTAATGCAACCTAGCTAGTGTAGCCGTGTAAAATCGATTTGTTTATTATTTTCAACCACGAAATCAGCTGTCAAAGTGTTCGACTTGACAGCGGTTTGTTTTTTTTTATTTTCAACCAGTAAAATGCATGTATTAGTGAAACTGTGGTAGAGAACTCTATAGTAGCCATGGATTTGTGCTCTATTCTACGCACCAGAAACACCAATGTTGCCTGCTGAACAGTGATGCAAAATATGATGACACTCACGTGACACTCGTCTTCGCACCAACCGACTATCGCTGACAGATCGTTTTATCACACTGTGAGATTTAGAGCCATGGCAAACAACAATCACCAGTAATGGTCACTGCTCACAAGCAAAACGCTACACTCGCTACTGATGATGAAAAGGACAACGAAAACAGTGAAGACTTCTGCAGTACGATCATGAGAAAAAGCGAAACGACAGGAGAAAATGAAAACAATGCCTACGCATTCCAAGTTCGTCTCGACAGGCGCGACTGTGTAAGATACAAACAAAGCAGGCAACATGAAACGGAAGCTGTTGGGCTCACTCACCAACACACTCAAATAAGCAAGTAAAGCAGCAACTGCTTCATAACGAGCACAGATGAGTATCGTGATTGTCGGGAATGACCAGATCGATGACTGATCACAACAAAAGACGACATTCACCAGTTGCTTTTTACTTCTTTCGTCAACTTGATGGATGGTCATGGAGAGAGCTTCGACGAGCACATTGATAGGAATGTACAAAGCGTTAATACCATCAGCTGTTTGGCGATCGTGATTGTGATAGGTCGCAACTCTGCTCCTGAACAGTTGATTGAACAAAATCATAAGACATTAGTGGTTTGAATCATAAATAACTTTTGTTTCTTACATCTAATCGAAAAATGGTTGTCTTCAACAAATTTTTAGCTGAGAAAATTTCCTAAAAGCTCAGTTATCATTTTCAAAACAAAAGTAAAATGATGAATTTTGAGATCGATATTAACAAAAAAATAGTTTTTCCATAGTAATTTCCATGTAAACTTCATAACGTCTGTGCCAGTTTCTTAATAAATTAGTTAAATTTTTGGGAGGCTAATCAAGACCCAACATGGAAGTTTTTGAGCAGCGTGGAGCGAATATTTAAAGTTTTTCATCAGTCATTTCACTAAATCTCGGACTCAGATTGACAGTACAAAAGCTGGACGCACTGTTTATTTTACTGCAGTGCTCCTAGCGGTCGGATCTGGAATGGTTTTGACAGCAGTTTGTTTTGAAATGTTTCCTCTTTCAGTGCTGAAAAGTTCTTCAGTCGTTGTCGTTGAAATTGGCAAAATCGACCGAGTGCAGTGTTCTCAAACGTTTCCGTGAGCGGCATAATATCGATCGTCAGGATCATAGCAAGCGTCGTAGTGGAACTAAGGTTCGGAAGCTGCATTTGAAGGTGTTGAGAACGGTTATGATATCGCCAATAAATTCAATGCCAGCCAAAGCACCGTCAAAAGGATTCGTCAACGAGAAGGAATTCGATCTTTTCGGGCCAGTAAGCAACCAAACGGGACACTGAAGCATAATCTAGTGGCCAGAAGACGTGCCCGGAAGTTGTACAACGTGGTTCTTACAAAGTACAAAGGATGCATCCTCATGGACAGTGAAACTTACGTGAAGATTATGGGCAGCTTCCCGGACAAAAGTTCTATAAAGTCACTGGTCGAGGTGATGTCCCTAGCAAGTTCAAATTAGTTTTTTTTGACGTAGGACTACGTCTGTGATTTCTATATGGGGGAACACTTTGTGAAAACCTAAAATGGAACATGTAACAAAATTATGAAAGATTTTGAACGTTAATAACTAAGCTGCCCCTGGACCAATTTCAATAATTTTATCACCAATCGATAAGAAATATTTCTAGGCACCTGTTAAATTTAGTACTAGATTCAAAATTTCACTATTGAAAATTGCACGAATTTGCAACTATTATTATGATAGTTAAAATTATCACAGATTGCCTGCGATAAGCGATTTCCCTAACACAGATTTCAAAGTTGAATTCCATCCGGTCTCACCAAACGGCGTCTATTCAATCACCACGTGGTGAGTGGTGGAGTTCTCCAGTATAATACGAAAGGCTCCCTCAGGCTCGGATTCAGTTCCAATCACCGTGTGTGGTGGTGTCCGGTCGTCGGCATCAGCAGCAGCAGCAGCAGTGCTTTCGGCACGTGGCGTTGAACATGGTTCTGCAGTACACAACGAATGGCTGCCTGCAAGCAGCGAGCTGCAGCCCACTTGAGCATCCATAGAAGAAGGAAGAAGCCACACCGCTATTGATCGGAATCAGTAACTCTTCGTGAGTCGCTGTGGGCCATCTATGCCAAGCGCGTCAACCTCATTCCAAACAACATACAGCTCACCAGCCTTAGCTGTGTTTAACACCGTAATAGCTCAGCATTACGACAAAACTGTCCTTTCCAGGACCACCATATATTTGTAAAAGAGTATTTTTTGGACATTTGTCAAGGTCATCAATCGGATGTCAGTTTCCATATCAAGATTGAGCTGAAATTAGGGCGTAACAGCTTTTTAAAACAATGACTTCTTTCGACGATGCCTTAAAAGGCAAGGCTCGCTCATACAAAAAAAAACATCACTATAAGGTAGGGTAAGACTTCCCCTACCAGACGGTAATGTTAGTTTGCGTAAGCGTGCCTTGAACAGGCATGGAAAATCAATTACATTCATTTCATGCATTCATTTACATTCATTTGCCTCTAACTTTTTTTCATCCACAGCATTTCGCAAAATGTTGTTTAGAGCTTTAATAGGTTTTGTTATTAGCTACAAGTTTTGCCCGTAACTCAAATCTGTATCTCTTATGCATCACGAATTAGAGCGGTTCTGCCCGTTACTGTTTTTCAGTGAATGTAAAATACATTCATTGAAAAACAGTAGTGGCTTCTGTTCGCACTGGTTCG